GACCATCCGAGCCCGGGCTGCCCGCTGAAGGAGGAGGAGAAGCAGCATCCGCAGCCGCCACCGCAGCAACTTGACCCAAGTAAGTGCAAAAGAAATTGCCCCCTGATTTATTGCTGAAACCTGTAAGGCTCGAATGTGCAAAACTGATAGTTTTACTAACCTATAAAAACGTCTAGCCGCCTACCCTAGCCGCGGCGAGCAACACGCATCCATAAAAAAGCTTCCCATAACAGCCTACCCTGGGTGCGCGGTTCCTACGGCAAACAGAGCGCGGGCATGAAGGCTTTTTATGATAATTCCCCCAAGTTGTGAAAAGCGACCATCCTTGGTGAAATTAATTTAACGACCTCTCCCCCCCCCCACCCTGTCGTCTCTCCCCACCTCCCCTTCTCTCCGCTTCTCTCCGCTTCTCTCCATCCCCTCTTCACAGACAACCCCGCCGCAAACTGGATCCACGCTCGCTCCACCCGGAAAAAGCGCTGTCCCTACACCAAATACCAGACGCTGGAGCTGGAGAAGGAATTCCTCTTCAACATGTACCTCACCCGGGACCGGCGCTATGAGGTGGCAAGGATTCTAAACCTCACAGAGAGACAAGTCAAAATCTGGTTCCAGAACCGGAGGATGAAAATGAAAAAGATGAGCAAGGAGAAATGCCCCAAAGGAGACTGACCCGCCGGCGAGGTGCCGGCAGGACCGCTCTGCTTGGCACAGGCCGTGGGGCTTTTTCTTTGTGGGTGCTTGATTTCCAGAAACTCTCCAGTGATTCGGACGTTTTACCCCGTTTTTAGGTAGAAGTGACTGTGTGGTCGGTCTCTGTGAGGTATTTGGGGGACTCTGTATTTGCTCGCTTATGTGTTGGAGAAACCGAGTGTCTTGGGGGTTTTGCCCTGCCCCGCACCCTCCGTTTCCTGCCCGGTTGGTTCCTTGGAAAATGCTGTGTTTTGTGAGTGCACGCGGGCTTGAACAGCTCTCTCCTTTGTAAATGCCCTCCATGTTTCTGAAAAGTGCTGTAGTGTAGCCCCCCCGCGCTGCTCGAGCCGGAGCCACACGCGCCTCACTCGGGAGAATGAAGGCAGAGGATCACAGTGCGGAGGCCCTAAGAGGCCCGGCCGGGTAGCCCAACGGTTATGAAAGCCCCCTTTCCTGGGGAGCCTGTGACTGAGACCTGGAAGGAAGCCCAAAGAGGAGCCCAGGGCCTCCAGGGGGGGCGGAGGGGGGTATGGTCAGTGCACTGGAGGAGCCGCTGTCACGGGAGGGCTCCGCTCGCGTGGGCGGCGGCGGGCGTTGGCCCTCCCGGTTCCTGCCTGAGGACCAGTTGTAAATGTTACCGCTTCCTACCAATAAATGCTGACCTGATTAAACGGAGCCCAGAGACTGCCCCCGAACGCTGTGTGTGTCTGCTTCTCTGTGTCTCTGCAAAATGTCACCCTCACTGGACGCCTCCCCCATCCCTGGGAGGGAGACGCTGCTAAAAATCCGGGGGCCTTCCACCTCGGGTCTCTCTCATGTGCTCCCCAGTCTCCCTTTGTGTGAGCGCAGCCTAGAACGCAGCACCTGGGTGGCCCTTGGCAGCTCATCCCTCCCCGGGTTTGCTTCCAGCACCTCTCGGACTCTGTGCCCCGGACCCAGCGACAGCCTCACCTCCGTGCCCCGAGGAGCGGAAGAGCCCCAGAAGCCAGGCCCTCACTCGCTGGGGCTTTGGCACACCACACCCCATGAATCCCTCTGCTCATGGGGTCCCAGCCATGGATCCCCCCACCCCCAAACAAGGGAAAGGCAACTCTGCACTTGCTCTGGGGAGCAGCTCCTCCAGCTCCGCAGGGCGGGCTGGCTCCGGGAGGCCTGAGGCGGCAGGGCTGTATGTAAGCTTCCACCCCTCCCCACTGGAGCCCCAAAGTGACCTCAGCAGATCAAAATGGTCAAGGCTCTCTTCCGCAGAGGACCGCCACCCTCCCCCGACCCAGTTTCTGTGTGCATTTAGCTCCCAGCGAGGCCCTCTGCGGGCCGCATTCTGGGGCTAAAATGAAGGTCATTGTAAGTGAGGGTTCTGGCCCTCAGCTTTTGCAGGCCCGAGAGGTTGAGGCGCCGGGGCGGCCTGGGCTGGGCGGAAGGCAGGGGCAATGGCAAAGTTGGGGGGGGTGGTCCTGATGAAAGAGGGGACTTGAAGGAAAAGCAGAGGGGGGCTGGGAGGGAAAGCCAAGGCCCAGATCCGGCCGAAGGTGCTGCGTACCCCCGCCCCTGCGGCCAACCGATACCTAAGGGCTCTTTGAAAACAGGAAGAGCCAAGGTGTCATAAAGCCATCCAGCCGGCGAGACGTCTGGAGGTAATGGGTTTACGATAGGCCCGGCGCTTCGCTTTGAAACCGTCTCATTTTGATGTTTGTGTTTGTAGGAGAAAAGGAAAAATGCAGACAAAAACTGGGTCTTAAAATCTGGACAATAAAATATAAACAAGACTGTGTTGGACCAACAAGGCAGGGCCTTGGGAGCGCCGGGTTAGGTTGTGAGCACCTAGGAAATAAAAATGGGGGTGTGTGGATAGGAAGGAGGAGATGATGTATTTCTGATTTTTCAAATGGTCTGGGTATTAGAATTAGCCTACGGTGGATGGCTCTTTATAATATTTGACTATGGTCCAGGTCTAGCTTGTTCTTTTTGTTTGTTTTAAAAGCGGCCTTTTATTCGGAGGTGGGAGAATTAGTGATCTTGGGTCATTTACTCAGGCTGAGGGTCCCCCAGCCAGATGGTGCTTGAGGAAAAATGGAGTTACTTAAATGCCTTTTTACAAAAATATCTGGCCCTCCACTCCAAATTTCACAGTGAAAATATTGTTGGAAATTATATCTATTTGCTTATAGAAAATAATAGTTACTGCTGAGTTGGAGGAAAGGATTTTTGAAAAAAGGTGGATCTTGCAGGAAACACCTAAGCTGATTAAATTCTTTACTTCTTTAAAATTTTCAAGTGGAATGCTTCGTCAATTCATTCCATTCTGTGACTTTTGGTACACATTTAAAATCTCATTTATTGTCTATACACGTTCCCGTGAACACGGGCCCGATAAGGCTTTTCCAGACAACCACTGAGAGATCTAGCAAAAAGTTTTTAATTTGGTTTCTCCACCCCATTGCCCAGCGAAATGGACCTGAAGTATTAAAATTACAAAATTAAAGCAGCAAATACTCATGATTTAATGCTAAGAGAAACAAACTTTAAAAGAAAAGATTACTAAATTAACTTGTACATTTTTAGTTTTTGAAGTTCCTGGCTTCTCTGAAAAAAAAATCCTGTTGCAGTTGATAGTTAGAACTTCGCAATTTTTTGTTAAATCTAGTCCATCCTATAATTGTTACTGATTACATAATGAAACCTACTGTGTCTGGCAAAGAAGGCTTGAAAACTTTTGAAAGACACTACTGGAAGCTCCTGGGAGCACAGACATACTTGGCATTTAGGAGCCGCTGTTTGCTGCGCTTGATTTGTTGACAATCAAAGGGATGAAGCATTATCAGCCTCTGCGATCCAAGTCCCAAACTGAAGAACTAGATTGAAATTGGTTTGAGTCTAATAAAGAGACGTTCAGCTCGGCTCGAGGTGGTATTTGGCCACTAGAGAGCGCCCTCGCTCCACTTTGTGATCTCGTAAAGCTGGCGTGGTGGTGAAGGAAGGTTTTGATTAAAAATATTTACAATATTATTTTAAGTTCCAAATTAGGGTAAATTTATTTTTTAAAAGAAACAATATGCACTATTAAATCCTGCAGTCGTGTTGTTAGGGATGAAATTTTGGCTCAGTCGGGATTTCAGAAAAATTTGGACTATGCCACTGCTAAAACTATAAATGTTATGTTAACACATTCTATCAAAACAGAAGTGTGTAAAGGCATACATCTTTATTTATGAAGTTAATTGTGCTCTTTTCCCATTCAGATTATAAACAAAATGCTTGAAAGAAAAACAAATTGTTTTGTCCTAGGAGAAAATGTTGTATTGCAATGTTTTCTTCATTAGGCCAGAATGAGTAGAAATTATTTTTTTTTGTAGTATTTGTATTTTTTTCTTCACACCTAGGAACCACACAGTTCTAGAAGATGCCTTGCATTACTGAGATCTGGGCTCGCCCTTCTTTCCCCCCCATTCCATTCCAAATCCACTCTTTTACACAGTGTTTAAACATGCAAACACATGCACTCCAAACAGTGAAATTAAAAAGACACAATTACAAAATTAGTTCCAAGGCTTTGTTGAATATAATACTCTATTAATTGGGTATTTGCAAGGTTGAAATACAAATTAACTGTCACTATCCGTTCCTCCGTTCCTTCGCCTTAGGATTTATAGTAGATTTTACCTGGTGATAACCGACAGAAAACAAACACAAACAAACCCCCTACCCTTCAACATCCCACAACAAAAGTCTCCTGCCGTTTGCTAATTTAAAAACTAAAGGATGCCTTTATCATCTGGAGATGTATTAGCAATTCGTTTACCTGAACTATTTCCAGCCAATCCCTGTAAAAACAATCGAGAGTCTTAGACATCATCTTGTTATGCCTTTCCTCGACCTTTTTTTCTCTCCATTTGCAAAATATGATATTCAGTCCACCCGGACTGACCTCGGGATTGCGCTCACAGGTTGGGGCAACCCACAAGGAGTGGGGTCGTCGAAGTCACTGGCCTGCTGCGCCTTTGCGGGTTACCTGGGGGTTTTAGAGCTTTGCATTTGGCGTGAAAAGTCGGTGTGGTGTGTTTCAGTATTAGCGGGAGCATCCTCGATAGACTCAGGGTTTTCGAGGTTGGTCCGAAGGCAGGTGGGCCTGGCGCCCTCACAGCAATGGGTTATCCGCAAGGGAAAGGGGCTGGGTCACCCAAAGAACCCCCCCCCCACACACACACACACAAAAAAAGCCGAATTGGCGAGGGAAAACTCACTCAACAGAGACCTATCACGTTTATTGGGAGGGAGAAGGTGGGCGAGAGAAGGTAGGTTGGTGGTGTAACTCCAAGCAGCTTTAGAGCCACCTTCGTATTTGCGATTCACATTCGACTTGCCCACACGAGTCGGGACGTTCGTCTTCCTCGTCACTCAAAAGTTAGGCTGAGCCTTCTCTTTCTTTTCTTTTGGAAAAATTCGTAACTTTCAAAGCTGAGCAGGGCGCCCGCTCTCGGCAGTCATGGCACAGGCTTGGGGCATGTGCTAGAATCGTTAGCAGGAGACCAGCGCTGCCCGCAGCTGCCTGGGACCAGCACAAACCCAAGGCCAGCTCCCAGTCACACTGGGGGTTGGGCAGGGGAGAGACTCACGGGAGCCCCTCCCCCCGGACGCCCCCCCCCTCCATCCGCCCGGGGCCACAGTCCGCCCTGGTCCGCTCCACACCGGGCAGAGACCGGGGAGCCGCCCGTCCTGCCCGAGGAAATACCACGCACCCCAGCACGAATCCTCCTTCCCGCCTCGGAACATTTCTGCCCGCTTTTCTATTTACTCCCTCAGCAATGCTAATGCCTCCCTCCCCACATTCTTCAGCCTCCCCCCCCCGCCCCTGCGCCCGGTGCTGACGTCTATCAAGGGTGAAATGATGGAAACTATATTCATGGGCATGATTTCCATTAAATATCAATTAAACTGGGAGCCTCAGCCAGGCGTGCAGTGCGTCAAGGGTAAATGTACATCTCATTTCCACAAGGCCTGTTCGTCTGGAAAAGAAGGACTTAGATTCGCTTTGATAATACCAGGTTTCGGGGTCACCCTTGTGGCCTTTCATCAAGCTACTCGGATAGGACCTAACCCCCAAAGTACGGCCCGGTCCGTCTACAGAGCCTGCCCATGTTCCCTGGGCTGCGCCCACGTGTCCAAAGGCGCCAAAGCCGCGGCCAACTTCTGCGGGGTTGCTCCAGGGGCCGGGGGAGAGAGTCCTTGGCACTGCAGCCTCCTGGGAGTGGCCTCCCGACTTCCCCCCAAGTGTAAGGTTCTGCTGCGCCCCCGCCCTGTTGGCCGCAGTCCACATGCCCTCGGCCCCCAGGGGCACCGCGAGCCCTTGGCAGTGCGGCTTTATGGGCCCCCTTTAAGGCCGGCGGAGGCATCTCCCGGGCAGCGTGAGGAGTCCCGTGAGAGCGGCGGTATCGCCTCCGCGCGGATCCCTCCGCGGGGTTATCTCGCCTCCATCTCGCTCCCTCTCCGCGCAGTGGCGTGGTGCGAAAATGCCTCGCCGGGGCGCACCGGGGCGGCAGCCTCGGCGGCGAGAGCGGTGGGAGGGGGCCGCGGGGGGGGCGAGGTGAGAGGTGGCGACGGGCAGAGGGTGTTTTTTTTTCTTTTCCCTCCAGAGCGGGGGTTTGTAAATCGAAGCCAAAGAGTGTCCCGTGGGCCGGGCGCACTTTTTTTCTG